GTCTGTTCCTGGTACTAAGAGAACTTGAAACCTGGCAAGGTCTTTGTTTATTTATGCACTTTAAACATCTCAAGCCCTGCCAGGCAATCAAGACAGTAAGACAAATTAGCATCTTCCAATGCCTACCCTTATAGAATGCAGAAAAATCAGTTTTACTGCAGTTCTTAAACAAAAAAGAGTTACTGAAGTCTAATCAAGGCAAACAATGAACTAGTAGTTTCTACATATCACGTCACAACTTTCTACCTCCTCCTTATTTGAGCCAAAAAAGTTTGGGGAACTTGCTAATTTTCACTTTCCTTTTCACTCTTCACAACATATACTGTTTTGCATTAACATTTGAGATCTACTTAAAGGCATGTTTCATACTTGGCCACTTCAGTTTGCTGCAATTTCTGAACTTCTTCAATATTGGAGTCACCATGCACCACCTGTAACTGTCAACAGAGAACCCTCCATATTTTTGCCACTAAATTTTCCAAACTTCAGCTAAATTGCAGATACTCTTGTTCAACAAAAACACGAAAAGAGAAAGCCTTCACTCTCTTTCAGTCATTCATTCCATATAGTTCTACCGTTCCCTCAAAATGGATAAGAACTCATTTTCTACATCCAACTTTAACCCAAGCTAACTGCTTTTACCACATCTCTGAAAAATAAGCCTTAAAAATAGACACCTCCATCCAACAACATACTGACCATTGGGTTATAGAGGCCAAGAAGTCACGACAGAATAGGTATGTTTAAAACAGAAGAAGCCACCCAACAGCCTCCTAACTACAGCACTTCAACTTTATACCTTCTGTACTCGAAAGAATGCTGCTACCTTAGATAACATTATATTTATTTACAAGAACTAGATTATAATGCTCCTTACTTCTGCCTTTAAAACACTGAAACAAAATCATCTTATCAAAGACTACAGGAAAAGCACTTTGAAGGCAACTTTGTATCAACTTGGCAAACTTACCAAAGATCCATCCCTGCAGCCTAACAAGGTCATCACGACTTGAGCCTCAGAGAACCACGACCGACACTAGTTACTGGGAGCCTCAACCCTCTACAGAACCAGGAGCTGCCTTCCTAAAAATACTCAGAGCAAAATCTGGAAGGAGGATGGGGTTAAACAATTTGAATCAGACACATAACGCTATTAAACCCAATAAGTAAAAAAAAACCCAAACAAAACCAAACAAAAAACCCACAACAACAAAACAAACAAACAAAAAAACCAAAACATGAAAAAAACCAATATATCATACCACTGTTATCAGAACATCATATATCCCCTACAAAATAGATTGGGTAGAGTTCATTAGATTAACTTCATGCATCGTTAACGCTTCATAGCGCAAGCTGTAACTTGGATATGAACCTCTTAAATGGTATTTCATCAGTACTGCGTAACAGCAACTACCTGACAAGTGTAAGACCCTCCGTTAAACTGGGATTCAGAAACTGAAAGAAAAAAACGCCTTGTGCAAACAGGATAGGGGAATGAAGTTTGTTCTCCGCCCTCCCAAGAGGAGAATTACTAAGCAGGGGATTTACAGTGTTCAGTATTAATTACAGATAGCAATATGACTAATGTAGTAGCAGCAACGTACAATTACTTACTATTAATGGTTACTAAGGCAAGGGATTGATCGTAAACAAGTAATTCCTAGATGAAAAGCTACTTTTTAGGGTCAGTAGGGAGCACCCAAGTAGGCCCACCCTGTTAAAGCCTAGCTGCTCCCTGACAATCGGGGGACTGCCAGTCAGCCGCCCCCCACTCCCTCCTGTCCCTGTGACTCCAACCATGCAATTACCCCACCTGTTACTTTCCTCCAGGCCTACTTGGGCCATCTCTGCTGAACAGCTCTGGTGTTGGCTTAGGGGCTTTCCCCAAGATGCAGTAAGCTTACACTGCCCTGACTCTTATCAGTTTTTGTCCCAAGCATCCATATTCAGCTCTTGTTTCAGACTCAAAAGGAAGGAAGATAATTTGCATGACACTCAAATGTTAAAATTTGGACTCCCTCTGCCCCCAAGCCCTTAAGGACTATCAATTTGTTTGTGCCAGCTACAGAGAGAAAAAGTGATCTGTAGGGACTCTTAAAACTGCACATTATGAGCAAACTTTTTAATAATATGCTAAACTGAATCAAGCACTGTGCAGTTGCTCTCCTTTTCACTACATATACGGGGTTTGTGTTACCTCCTGAATTTGTTCAGGAGTCTATTGTCGTTATTTTTTTTAACAAGTCTCTATCCTGCCAACAGCCCTGCCGAGAAATTCCAGCCTATCAGTTCACAATGACTTGGAAGTAGTTCTCAGCAAGGACTACTCACGCTTTAGGCCACTAGGCATGCAGCAGGCTAACCTCTCACATCATCTTCATAGCCCAATTACAAAATGTTGCATTCTAAATACTAAGCTCCAGATCTGCTACTCTGCAATAACCCTTTTCAAGATAGCAACGAAAATACAAATGCTCACTATATGTTCTTATTTTAAACAGCAATATTATCTGCATGCACTTGTTAAAACTCTCTCTTAAAATCTTCATCAAGAAACGTACATATGCAATCAAAGTTTACAACTACATTTACACATAAAGTAGTCTGAGCAACACACAGACATAAAAGTGACAGAGGTGAATTATTTTTACTCACAACATCCAAAGCATGTGTTGTAACTACTCAGTAAGTATAAAGTATACAGGTCTAACCCTGAGCTCAGTGACCCGGGAAGTGAGTTTATACATTTTATGCATCACACAGGTTACCAGCTGTGGGAGATGAAGACCACACTGTTCCCCCCCACACACACACACACAGGGCAAAACACAAGTATGCCTGATTTGCTGGTGACCCACTCCAGGTTCTAGCAAAGTCGTACAGCTAACAAAGTCTAGACAATCTCACGACTATATAAACTCACAGGGTCCTTCCCAAGTCCCAGTGGAGGTCGGACAACACGAAGTGCAAGTTCACTACAAAAGGCACAAGTCGAGCACCCCGCAGCAAGGGGAGGCTCTACAGCGCAAGCTGCCAGCACCGCACCGCCACTCGTGACCCTGACAGCAACCAGCTGCCCTACACCAACGAAGGCCATGCCTTTTATTTTGGTGGGGTTTGTGGGTTTTTTTGTTGTTTTGGTTTTGTTTTTTTTCACGTTAGCTGGCAGAAGCCTGCCACATGCGCTGGTGACACCTCACCCCGCCCCACTCACCCAGGGCAGCGTGCCGGGGAACTCCGAGAGCCCTAAGGACCCCACGGCCGAAACAACACCCCCCCAAACCCCCAGCACCGGCCCGTCCTCACCTTCGGCCAGCGGCTCCTCGGGGGTCACCTGGTACCGCCCCACCGCCAGCGCCCTGCCCAGGGCCACGCCGCTGCCGGAGCCGCCGCACGCCGTCCCGCCGCCGCCGCCGCTCCCCTCGGACTTGGGCATACGGGAAAACTTCTTCATGACGAGCGGGGCCCCAGCAAGAGCCGGGGAAGAAGAGCCTGAGGCGAGGAGGCGGCGAGGGGGCTGCCCCGTTTCACATGTCGGCCGCGGTCCCCGCTTCTCCTCACCCGCGGCCGGCTGCTGAGAGGAGGAGGAGGAGGGAGGAGGGAGAAGGAGGAGGAGGGAGGAGGAAGAGGCAAGGAGGAAGAAGGACGGAGCAGCCGCAGCCCCGCCGGCCGGGGCGGCTGAGGGGACGGCGCTGGCTGTGCCGGGAGCGGCCGCCCCGCCGGCGCGCGGCCACAGAGCGCAAGCGCGAGGCCTCCCCCGCCTCTCGCGGCTGGGCCCGCGCGGCCGGAAGTGCGGCCGGGCCGGCACGTGCGGCGGGAGCGAGGCGCGGCGCGAGACCGCCCCCCCCCCCCGCCGCGGCGCTTTCCCGCCCTCGCGGCCCCGCGCGCTCTCTGAGGGGACAGGGCGGGAAGCGCTGAGGGGACGCGGCCGGCGGGGCACACACAGCCCGCGGGTCACACACAGCCCGCGGGGCACACACAGCCCGCGGGGCACACACAGCCCGCACGGCCCCTCAGCGCCGCTCCCCGCTGCCTCACGCTGCCCCTCGGGCATCACCGACACAGCCCGCAGAGGGACGTGCCCTCCGGAAGGAGTCTGTCGGCAGCGGTACGATGAGGAGATGGTGAGCATCGCGGTGGTAGAGATGGCCCTGCACGCCCCAGACTGTGGAGGCTCCGGGGTCTGTGGCATGCTTCCACAAGGGGAATTCCAGGGAGATCCTGGAGTCTCTCTCTCTGGAGACTTTCCAAACCCATCTGGAGGTGTTGATGTGCCACTTGCTCTGAGTGACCCTGCCTTGGCAGGGACTTGGACTGGATGATCTCCAGAGGTCCCTTCCAACCCTAACAATTCTGGGTTTCTATGAAATAACTGTGAAAAGCGTTGATACCGAGTATGAATTCCAGTGGTGCATCTCCACAAATATACTGTGCAGAGTTTTGAAGGGAACTGGCAGAAAAGAAGGGGTAGAAGGATGGGTCTGGGCAGGAAACCATCAATGAAACGTGAAGTGAGCGTTTTCGCACTGTGAAATGTATTGACATGTACAGTTTCCCTATTAACACTGACAAAGCAAACCTGGGAATTTACTTACACGAGCTTGTTTCCCCGGTGAAATCCTCAGGAAAATAAGAATTGTGCTTATAAAACCCTTTCTGAACCGCAGGAAGCCCTGTGTCCTGTGATCCCTTGCTGAAGTTCGGTTGGAAGGACTGGAGCCACAGCAGCTGGGGAACCACAGACAGAGAGGTATGTCACTCACTGACAGTGTGCTGCTCCACGGCCAGCCTGGCTGGTTAGGGCAGTACTTGTCACAGTTCCATAGAAACAACACTGGATAAACACCCTGCACTTACAAATCACTTATCTCAAATTTCCTCTTCAAATCCACATTCAGACTGAAGCCGAACATCACACAAAGATGGTGAGAAGTTGCAGTCATTGAAAAGGTAATTTCATTCCAAACCTGTTCTCCTTGGGAGTCACTCCTGTGTAAATAAAACTGTGGTACTTGTGTGTTGTTTTTCCCCTTACCAAATGCAAGCATACAGTAAAACCAAAGCTGATACGGGACACTCTGCCAGTCTCTGATATGAATAAATGGAGCTGTGTTTTTGGCATTTACAGTGGGAATTTGACAAGGCTTTCCCACAGAACACCTAGGTTTTGGGTGGATACCAGTTACAGCCATCAGTTCAGTTAAAACTGTGGAGGAATCAGAAGTGTAAATCTTTGGGATGACGTTCTGGTAACCAAGTTAGTTTTAACTTAATCATATTGCCACACTCTTAGTGGGTACAAAAATGACTATTTATTGAAGTGCCAACTTGTCACACATCGAAAGCACCAATAAACTGTTTGCTTTAGCAGTCCCCTTTCTGTAGTCACTGCCATCCTTTCAGAAAACAACAGATCAATTTTTCAGCAGCATACAGAGATTAATTCACAGTTTTCCTTGGGAGAGAAAAGTGTTTTGAGTGCAGATGAAAGGAACAGAGTTCTGTGAGAGGGATGGCATGAGCAGCCGTGTTTTGGTAATGAGGGCATTCCTACAGTGAGATATGCCTATGCTCCTCAGATATTTAATGATATCTCAGAGAAAAAAATGCAGCTAGGCTATAAGCACCTAAGTGTAGTGCCACTGAGTAGTACAGTTTTGCTGTTCCTCAGTAAAAATAATGTATTTGCTAAAAGCCACTGTGACCTTGGGAGCAGGACTGGCTTTTAGGTTACCCTGGTGAGTTTTTATTTGGCTTTGGGGTCCCCATCCCCACCCATGCATTTTTATTCTTTTTAAAGTAAGAGGTTGTATTATCGCTGCACTTATTTATAGGCTGGACAAAATGAGCCCTCTTGTTACACTGGGATTAACGCTGCTAATCTCTGTCTTGGCATCCTGGAGGACACAGAGGTCAGGTCCTGGGCATAGCAGGCAAAGCAGTGTATCAGCACTGCACACTGAGCTGTGAGCGTGCAGTGGCTGCAGGGCTGGCTCGCAGCCTGCCAGTGATTTCCAAGAGCCACGCTGCAGCTCCCTTGCCCTGTTCCATGGCCCGTTCCACCTCAAACCTCGCACCAAATGGTCTTTCTCTCAGGGACACCAGTGTGTTGTGAGGAGGTTTCATGTTATGGATTCCCTTTTATTGAAGTATAGGTCAAGGAAGTTCAATAATAGAGACAATTTTGACAGCTCACTTAAAAAATACGGGCCTGGCCCTCGAAGCAGGTAAGGGGTGTGATTTTGAATGTGTGAATAGGCTCGCTGACTTTGTTTTAATTCCTCACCTGAGCAGAGTGACGTTTTGATATTTCTAGAAGCTAAAGTCATTTCCAAAAGGGAAGAGTTGTGAGGTTTTTTTCAGTGAAAGTATGAAACCCAAAGTAAACTTTGTTCTTCCTTTTTGAAATAAAAACTCTCCTTTGGTCCTGTATCTGGAATGTGTGTGGTAAAAGATCAGAAAGGTCTTTGCAGTGCTTGAAAAACAAACAGAAAACAAATTGTAATACCTTGAAAGTACCCACAAGCACAGTTTATTTTCACGTTTATGTGAAACAGTAGATCATCTGAAGAAAAATGCAGTGGCAACAGAAGACCAGAAAGATGAATCCTCAGGTAAGGAGAGATCAGCTACAAAAGGTGGAGGCAGTGGGGGATTGTAATGCCAAGGCTGCCCTCAAACCGGGATATCAGTGCTCATTCGTGGGACTGGGAGATCGTGGTCTATATCATGTTTTGCTGCTTAAACCTTCAGCTTCATGAGTCAGCAAATCATAGGAGATACTGAGCTTTCATTATTTAAAAAACAAACAGCACTTAAGGTCACTTCTGCTTTTTATGACGGTGGAGTCAACACTGAACTTCCACTGCACAAAAACAGGAGAGACAGCAAAAAAGTCCCAGCCATGTGCTGTGTCCGTCTCCACCACAGTATTGGAACGTTTGGCTTTATGCCTTTCATTGCCTGGCGTCTAAAATAGTGTCATGTTTTTCTAGTAGCTGTGTAATGGCAGAGCTATATGGTGTATAAATGATTCCACTTACTGTCTCTATTCAGCACGTAACACACACCTTGAAGCTCCTGTCCCAGTTAGTGTCACAAAAGCAGGCCTGGAGGGGTTCTTAGCGCAGCACTGACTGTACTCTCAGTGTCCAGACTGTGAGAGTCGTTGCTGGTGTCAGAGGGTGTATCACTGACTTTATTTCCCCACATATAAAATTAATGTAGGGATTAGCTACTCATTGCAAAATACATTGAAGATTTATGGAGGAAAGCTCTAGCTGGGAACACTGCTTAAAAAATGAAATGCCAGATATTTCACATGTGCTTGGAGTTGGAAACGTGATGGTTTAATCCTCTTTAAACTGCTGAATAGTTCAAATGCCTGTACCTTGATTACTGTTTCTCAAGCATTTCTCTCCTTACATATATCCCTAGTCATAACTCTTTCCTCTGTACAATACATAAATTGGTTTTAAATCAATCCCATGAGAATAAAACAATTTCCTGCAAGAAAGTTAAAAGTCCCTTACAGAAAGTAGTTATTAAGGCAAAGTAGAAGTGGAGAACTTCCTTTGTGTGGGTGTTGTTTTGGAAATGTCTCTTGGTGCTTCTGGATAAACTCCTTCCCTTCTAATTACCCAAGCTGAGTGTTAGAAACAAAAGGAAAAAAAATCTACTTTTATAGAAATATGTTATTTATATATTAAAACTTTAAAAGAAATTGCTGATAGAGGCTCTCAAGTTTGGGAATTACTGCAGTAAATTTTTGTCATCTTATTTGGGTATGTGAGGGTTATTTTCTATTTTGTAATAATTCAGTCAGTGTGAACAAAGCCCTGCCAGAGACTGGGTTTGCCCAGCATGCTCTTTTAATTTTCCTCTCTTATCACTTCATTGTTGCATGTTTATTTTGCTTCTGGTCCCATGAGAGCCGTGAGAAACATCACTTTAGACATTGAAGTAGGCTATACAATCTCCCTATCTCAGAAAATACTGTGTCTTAGTTTTCTACCGCTGACCCTGATGGAGTCTGTTTTAGGCACGGTTACTGAAACCACACAAAATGTTTATGATGATCTCAAAGCTAAGAAAACCCCAGGAGACAACTGGTTTGGGTTTGGTTTTACATTTTTTCTAGGATGAAGTCATATCCCAGCTCCACATCTCAGAGGCAGGAGTAGTAATGAAAGGCTTTTTTGCTTTGCTTAATTATGTATACAAAATAGCAGAAAGAGCCTGGTATGTTGTGAAACATGTTGGCATGGAGAATATGTTGACGTGGGGGGAGTAAAAAACAAAAAGACTGAAGTCACTGGAGCAGAGGGATGGCACAAATTGGGCAGAAAGCAAGTGCATCCTCTGGAGGCTCCCCCGATTTGCAAGGTCTGAGCAGTCCTGGATGCTTAGTGCTGACCTTGGGAACGCAGACACATTTTCATTCACTTTCTATCAGCTAACTCTAATCAGGGAAGAAACAAAGGGAGCTGTGGAAAGCAGCTTTCCAGTTTCCAAAGTTGAAATGGAAACAAACTGAGGAGCCAGCTGGAGAAAATAGTCAAGGTGCAAATAGCTGACATCAGCTTTGGTGACACCCAGCGCAGCTCTCATTGACACTGAGGTCAAGAGTCTACTATTGCAACATGAGATTCGGTCACTTGTACCACAGCCAGTGTTGAGACCAAACAAAATACAAATTCCTTGT